TATCTATAATAATCCATAGAATATCTATGATAATCCATAGAATATCTATGATAATCCATAGAATATCTATGATAATCCATAGAATATCTATAATATTCCATAGAATATTTATAATAATCCATAGAATATTTAATTATAAATTAATAGAAATTCTATAGATTTTATTGTTTTTGTTCTGTGCTTGTGCAAATTTTCAAATTCAGCTGGACTTATAAGCATGGATTTCCTATGATTGTGAAACAGTACGGGAAACGGCTTTGTCATTGGAAATTAAGGACAACATCCTGGGAATCAATTTAAGCGCGGAAAACCACTGTCATCCAAAGTGAATACGTCACGGCCGCACATTGAGATTTTCGCACACAAAATACTTGCTATAACAGATTGTAAGATTCTGCGCAAGTAGTTACCTAACACGATTAAAGAAAAGAATCTACTGTTACGAGCTTATTAAGTTTGCGCAAGCAATCAGAACATAACTTGTGCTGTTACCGGAAGTTGCGCGATTCTTTGAAACCGCCCTTGCAGAGAACAAACACTGGTATAAGATTGCGCAATACTGCGCATCGTAAGAACTTGACTTGAAACTGACAATCGGGTACTCTCATCCACACGCCCTGAAAAGCTCAATACCGTTTGCGTGCCGTGCCGCGACCACCAGATGTTTTCTAGAATTTCTAGCTTTTCACAGTCATACGAAAACTGCTCTAAGGTATAGCACCACAAGATCTTTATAGATTGTCGTAATATGTGTTTCTATTAGATATACTAATGCTAGATGGAAATAGGTCGCGTAATAGTATAGTTAAAAAAGCCCGTACGCGTAAGAAAATGTACTTGGCTGCGCGGTCTCGACGTTCGCAGGGTCGTGATGCGAGTATATATCCTGCCTTTTTTTCTTTCAGGTAAAAAAGAACGCGAATAAAAACCTTAAAAAATGACGTTTTCGGTGTTTCTTTGGGTAAAGTGCATATTCATCTGTACTTTCAAAACGATGCTCCTTTAACGTACAAATTATTTCTTCCATACTCACACAAGCTACTCAACTCC